AGAGGGGTTTGAGAGAATAGGTCTCAATAAACATCCCTGAAGCACAGGGTTTTTTGGAGAGCTCTCAGGTTGGCCAACACCTCCATGTGCTGGTAGAATGCTCCTGCACTTGAGACTCTGAAACCTGGTCCTACAGATCTCTTCATCTGTCTGTTCATCTTTCTTCTTCATCATCACCTTTCTTAAATTATAAACTAGTAACAGTGCTTCCCTGAGTCCTGTGAGCCATTCCAGCAAACAGTTGAATCTGAGGGAGGATCAGAAGAACCTCAGTATGTAGTCCAGTCTGGCAGCAGTTGTGGGTAACCTAGGCACCAACACTGGTGATTGGCATCTGCAGTTTGGAGGAGCAATATTGTGAACTAAGCCCTTAACTGACAGATCTCGGCTAACTCTAGGCAGATAGTGTCAGATTTGGATTGCATTATAGAATGCCCTGTGGGTATTTGCAGAGAGTTGGATAATTGCTTGGTATGGGAAAAAACCTCTATACTTCTGGTGGCCAGAAATATTGATGTGAATAGTAAAAGGGGAAAAAAAAGTTTTCTTTTTGAATAACCTCCAGTACTAACTTAGAAGAGATACATGTAAACTATATGATTCCAATATCATGAGGTTAAGTATGGATTTACTCTAGGAGTTCCTGTAAAGTAGAATATCTGCACTGAACTATTGTAGAATAGCAACAGTGTATGGGAATGCAGCCTGGAAAGAAAGCATTTGACTGGGGGATAGGCATGGTGTGGGGCAGAGGCAGCCCCCAGGAACTTGCTGCTCCAGAGTGGTGCCTGCTGCCCGTGTATGTGCTTGCCCTGGCTTGCTTGGTTTTCTATAATAATCCCCATGTTCTTTCCTTTGTTTTCTATTTTCTATACATTTTAATCCTTTATTTCTCTTTTTCTTCTTCTCTACGTTTGGTCTCATGGAGATTTTTATAGCCAAGACCAGTAGTGGGGGCGGGGGGGACTCTGCTTTGAACTAGGATTCCTTATACTGACTTCATGTGCAGTGGAACCTTGCTGTAAATAGGTAAATATACAATGGAGGGGAATTTTAAGACCACTAAGCCTGCAGCATCAGCCTTCAGCTGCAGGTGGTAAAAGAAAATATGGTTCTAGAGTTGGTGATGCTGGATGAACTGCCAGAAGGGTCTGAAAGCCTTGGATTCAGAGCCAATTCCATTATTTTTTAGCTTTTACTACTGGGCTGACTTAGCAGCACATAGTGTTTCTTGTGTATTAAATAAAAGTATGCATCTAAAGAACCTATCACAGTGCAACATATAGAAAGAACTCAGTTCTTTTTTTAAAATTTTTATTTATTTAATTTTATGTGTACATATGAGTGTATTGTCTGCATGTATGTTAAGTTTACTCATGTTGTGCAAAGTCCACAGAGGCCAGGAGGGGGCATCAGATCCCCTGGAACTGGAGTTATGGATGGTTGTTAGCCACCATGTGGGTGTTGGGAACCAGGTCCTCTGGAAGAGCAGACAGTGCTCTTAAATGCTGAGCCATATCACCAGCCCCATTTATTAGTTCTTAATAGGATGTTGGAATAGACAGTTATTTGAGACTCCATTAGGTATGTTGACTCCACTAGGTATTACTGGGTGTTTCTTTGCCCACTTAAGAGTCAAATATTAGGCACTAGAGAGGCTGCTCAGTGGTTAAAAGCACTTACTGCTCTTCCAGAGGACCCAGGTTCAGCTCCCAGCACTCACATGGTGACTAACACCTATCTTTAATTCCGGTTCCAGGGGATCCAACACCCTCTTCTTGCATCCACGGGTTACCAGGCATGCACATGGTGCACTTGCATACATGAAGACAAAACACTCATATACATAAAATGAAAATAAATTTTAAAATCTTAAAAAAAAGTCCAACATTGGGGCTGGAGATGCAACTCAGTGGTAGAGCGCTTGCTTACCACTTGCGTAGCAAGCATGAGACCCTGGCTTTGATCTTTGAATCACCAAACAAGATAAATGTCATTCCATCTGCTTCCCTACAGATTTCTATGAATTTTCAAGGAGCTAATAGTCATGTCCCTAAGGCTCCACTCTGTTGTTATCATCAAAATTTTTGTTAAGGGACATTTTCAGCATCCCAAGAACTTATTTACATTATGTTACCTCAACCTCTCAAGTCACCCAATGTTTTTCTTTCATTTTCCATCTGTACAAAAACTACTTATAAAAGACATTTATTTGCATGTGGAAAACTTGACAGAAATTTCAGGAAAATGGAGTGATTTCTATCACAATTATATCAACATTAAAATTAAATGTTAGGTATTTCTAATGTTGAAAGTTTCTGAAGCGTGAGCTCTAGTTTCTATTAAATGACATTGAATGACCATGGGGTTGTTGTGAGGGTGAAATGAGAGAAACCATGAACAACACTTTTGAACTATGCCCAGCATGGTGTGCTTAGCCATTATGCACTCCCTCATGCTTGCTGTACTATTGTTCACTGGCTCTTGCCATGTGGCCTGGTCCTCTTCTCTTTTCCTTGCCTCTTCTCTTTATTCTGACAACTAAATTCTTATTTATTTCTTGGTGGTTGCAGACCTTCAGCTCCAGCATCCATCTGAGATGTGTGAACACTGGTGATAAGTGGGGAGATTAAGAGTTTATCAAATATAGTTTTTGTAAATCATTAATGAATGAATTAATGAAAAAATATAGATTTTTTTTTTCTTGAAGGCATCACTGCTTTGTGCCCATTCCATGTCACCAAAAACATTTTTATGACTTTGAGTCTTAGTTCATAGGCCCATGAGACCATGTTCTGTTGTTGGAAATAAAATAAGCATGGAGAGTCCTGGTGACAGCAGCTGATAACCTGGTGAGACACATGTTGAATTACAAGCAGATTCACATGAAAGAGTAGCAGTTTTCATGGATGGACCTCTAAATCTTACAGAATTTTCTAGTATTAGCTACTCATGTTATAAAAACATGTAACAAAGCTTTGGCTTTATAAAAACATACAGTATGTCAAGATTACCGTAGTCCTTGGGTTTCAGGAGACTGTTGAGCACACCATCTGTTCCATCTTATCTTTATATAGTGTTTAATCTCCATGGCATTTTTGTTCACAGATAGGGAAAGAACAGGCAACATGAGAGGTAAATTGGTCAGGGATTGTGGCATATTGTGGGAGACAGGCTTGAGCCTAGGGTGATATTGCAACTGTCAGGGTCATGTGGTTTCCAGGAATCCAGGCTCTGTAATCTGAAACCCAGTATGCTAATGAGGCATCCTACCCTCTATTCTGTGATAGAACGTTAAGTCTGTTATGCTAATAGGATGCTAAGTCTGTTATGCTAATAAGGTATCCTACTTGCTGTACTGTGATAGGACACTAAATCTGTTATGCTAATAAGGTATCCTACTTGTTGTGCTGTGATTGGACCACTACCCCTATTTAAGCTTGTGCCTTCCTGCACTGAAGCAGACCTGTGTCACTGAACCTGGTTTCCTGTGTCTGAATGTGGCTCCGCTGACACAGTCTCCTCACCAGCCCTGAAGTCCGGGACCTGGCAGAAGCGGCAACTACAGGAGGCAGCACAGGGCAAGCAGAAGAGCTGCCTCAGCACCAGGCGAGCAGAAGAACGGCCTCAGCCCAGGGCAGGCAGAAGAGCGGCCTCGGCCCAGGGCGAGTGGAGGAGCAGCCTCGACGCCCATGAGAATGGAGGAGTGGCCGCCACTGGTGGTGACTGCAGCATATATGAGAAAAATAAAAATAGAAAAGATTAGAGTCCTTGTAAATAGTATTTTTTTTCCTTCTGTCATTACGTGCCCTCTTTTTTCTTTGTGATTCTATTTGTAAAAGTACTTACTATCTGCTGGGCTCAATGGCTGCACTTGAGAGGTGAAGGCATGAGGATCAAGAGCTCAAGATCTTTCTCAACTGCATATTGAGTTTAATGCCAGCATTGGTTATATGAGGCTCTGTCTCAGAACATAAAAAAAAAACTAAAAAAGAAAATCTAATAGCTAATATTCTCATTAATAATAACACCTTTGGATCTTGAATCCCATCTTGTTTGGTGGAGTGTTGCCAAGGCTCTGCAGAGAGGCCACATTCATCCCTGTTATGAAGGAACTAGACTCTAGGAACATGCATGGAGTGGTCCCTGAGGCAGACAAGACAATTAAACTCCTGGTAAGTCCTGAAAGAACCCAACAAAGAAGTCTCTGCCAATCCAAGTTAGAACCTAAGTGAAAACTAAGTCGTAGAAAAGAAAATTGTGTCACTATTACTAGAAGCTTACTTGAGAATATGCCTTTAGATATATAGTTTAGGAGGTCTTACTAGTTTTGGCCCTAGGATTATTAAGTATTAAGTCAATGGGATGCTGGTCTATTACAAGTTTCCTTTGTAGGCTGATCAACTCTTAGAACTCATCACACAGGGCACTAGGAAGTCTGAGTTTCAGGGAAAGGACAGAGCCCAGAGACCTTTCTTCAATCATATTTACAGGTCAGAAGAATTGCTCCTGCATTTAGGCTCCTCCCATGTTGTCAGTCCCAGCATGGGCATTTCCTCTGCATACTCGTGTTCTTCATGCTCCACAGACACTGACACTGAGCTCACCCCAGCATCCTTGCTACCTGTTTTTGCAGGACCTCTATTCATTTCCTTTGTTCTTTCTCTATTTCTTCCTCTGTTTGATTGGCTTCGTGCTTTGCTAATCACAGGCAGCCTTCAAAGCATTTTTTTTTTTAAAGAGGATTTAGAAAAGGTTTATTTTTTTCTATTTCCAGACTTTTACAGAGATGCAACACAGATTTCTGATAAAGCTGATGTTAAGAGCACAGAAAAGCACAAATGAAACCATCAACTGTTAATGCTTCACTTTCTCATAATGATTTATTTCAAATATAGATAGTAACCTTAGTGATATAATATTAGCTGTAACAACTTACAAATGCAAAAACAGAAATATGTAGCTTACATACTTTGAGATCTGTATAAGAAATGATTTAGACCCTTTTTTTGGTTCATAAGGTGATGATTGGGTGTTTACGTACCTGTGTGACATGTGCCGCCCTCAAACCTTGTTATACATTGGCACATTACCCATCTTAGGGGAGAAAACAAAAATAAAAGAAATGATTTAAATATTAATTGTCTATATTTTGGAAAGAAAAAAATTGAATTAAAGTGGAAAACGTAGACAGTATGGATGCCTTAGGAACAGCACATTTGTTTTTAAAACAAAATGAATTCATTCCTAGATGGAATCTAGAACTTTTTGTTTCAATAGTTAGGTAGAAGCCATTGGTTGGTGGCCTACTTGAATAATTTTTTTCTTCACTAAGTGTGATTGAACTCTTTTCTCTATAGTTACCTGTTTGTCATAGGCTTTTTATGAGTCATTATATGCATTTCTGCCTGGCCCTTTAGTATTACAGGGAAAGTCCTAGCCTATTGCTAGCTTGGTCACATTTTTCAGAGAAAAACAAGCTTGCAAACAAGATGTATAGCAGATGCAAAGAGGGAAGAGCGTCCCTCCTGGCCTTTTGCCGTGAGTGACACTTTAAGTCATAATTTGTGCTCACTGAACTGGTGATGTGGCACAGAGGGAACAGCTTCTTGCTTTCTGCACCAACCTGGCAATTATGGTCTTAAAGATACTTCTAGTTAAAAATTTTGGACTTAGAAAAGGAAATGTAATCGTTTACAAAAACAAAACAAAACAAACAAGCAAACAAAAAAACGTGTCCATGGATGATGTAGGAGAAAAAAAATAAAATGAAAATACGGACCTGTAATTTGCTGAAATAAAATGTTAAATACTTGCATGCAAGTATTTCAAATGTATACATTTAAATTCTGACTAGATGAAGGGTGACTAAATAAATACACACTACCACTGAAATATCAGTGAAATGTAAGCAGGTTTTCAAAAGCAGCATATAAGCACTATCAAAAATGCCAAGTTAATTGTGTTCCATCTGGCAGTTCTTTCAAAACCTCACCTTTCAAGTACCCTCATTTCCATATTACCTGTAGAGCTTTGTGGGCCACTGTCAGCTAAGTCTTTGGGGGAAAAAAGGAGGGTAGTCTCTCTGCTTGACTTAACTTTTTTTCTTTTTTGCGATAGGATCTCATGTAGCCCAGGGTGTCCTTGAACACACTTAGAAGCTGAGAATGACCTTGAGCTTCTGTTCCTCTTGCCTGTATCTCCTGAGTGTTAGTTTTACAGATGTGTATCATGACTCCTGGCTTATAGACTAGGAATGAAATCCAAGGCTTCATGCATCCTAGTCAAGCACTCTGTCAACTGAGCTACCTTTCAGACCTGTATGACTTAATTTTCCATGCTTTACCATGCTCTATACTTGTTGAACAGTCTTAACTGGATTACCTGGATTCTTCAGGCCCAGTGGAAATCTTACTGTAACATAAACAATAGCTTAGATAGTTAATCTTTCCTCAGTTAAGATGTAGGATTGGCTATTAAAAGTTTTTTCCATTTCGCAGGGAAAACTTATTAAAATTTTGGTTTTCTGCAGGTCTGGACTCTACTTTGCTTGTTGTGTTATTTTCCACAACCTAAAATTGTCTGATACTTTGAAGGTGAGCAGTAAGTTTTGGGGAAAGAATGGATGAGGTATCTTTCCCAAGACTTACCAGTTCTTCAGAGATTCTATTCCACTTCCTCTCCAAAAGAACATTCATTATTTGCTCTGCATCCTGCGTGGTTGGCCTCATTAGACACAGCATTGAAATCTAAGTAGCCACATGGTCATCATATTAATCCACAGCATTGCCATCATAATCAGAAATATTAAAATAAAAACATAAATGGCCTCTAATGGACACTCATTCCGAGGCCTTCTTGAGAGCCAATTCCCACTTTCATTCAAAGCAGAATATACTTTCACATGCAAATTAACAGCTTTTAGTTTCAAAAGTAGGAAAATCAAGAAATCCAACAAGAGGGTGATATTCTTGCAATATAGTTAAAGAACTCAAATTGATTTTTATTGGTAATTACTAGTAAAATAACATTTGAACCTCAGTCAGGTAAAATGAAGATTTTAAAGAAATTATAGGCCTGGTCAACAAGACGGCTCAGTGGGCAAGGGTGCTTGCTGCCAAGCCTGACAACCAAAGTTCAATCTCATCTCTGGGACCCAAGTGGTAGAAGGAAGGAATGGACTCCCACAAGTTGTCCTCTGACTCTCCCTCCCCTCAACCTGCATGTGCACACAGGTACACAATAAATAAATGAAAAAAGAAATTAGCAGAAAGTACTGATGCAAAAAACACAATTCTTAACCTCAAAGGGGATGAGAAATAGTTTATTATGGAGCCAAATATGAGTGACCATGGCCTGGGATCATAGATTTAGGTTACCCCAAATTCCATGTTCCAATGTGGTAATAGTTTCATGAAGTTTTCATAATAACAAAACAAAGAAAGCCATAAATTAAGACACTTTTCAAATACATTGGTGGATACGTCAGGGAGGCAGGATGTGGCAAAGTGGGGAAAACTCTGTTATGGGCCTCAGATGCTGCCTGATGACACTCTTAGTTTGGGTTTGGTAGAAGCAAGTGGTCTGTTAAGTTAATACACTCCAAAGGAAAACTAATGCCCTATTTGTACCTTCCAAATGATTTACCTAACTGGCACAAAGGTGTTAGGTTATATACAGAGGAAGGCAATAAATGACTATTAAGTGGGCTAAAGATGGCCCAAGTTAATTTGGCTCTGGACCTGCAATATTCCCAATGCTCCACAATAACTGAAATTCTAATCAGCCCATCAGCTTTGTAGAAGGTTCAGTTTGAAGGTACAGCTTTTTCCTGGGAACTTTTTTTTCACAAAACTCCACATTAAAAGACTCTGGATGTCCCTATTTGATCATCATGTATGGTGTTTGCTTAACTTTACTAGATTTTATTTCTATTAGGTCATGAGAAAGGATGAATAATTTTGTCTCTACTTCAAAATGACTTTGTGATATCACTCTGTACAACACCTTTTCTTTTAAAAAATGTATTATATATATATATATGTATGTATAATTTTTTTGGTCTTTTTGAGACAGGGTCTCCCTGTGGCCCCAGCTGTCCTGGAACTCACTATGTAGACCAGACTGACCTTGAGCTCACAGATCTGCTTGCCTCTGCCTCCTGAGTGCTGGGATTAAAGGTGTGTGCCACCACGCCCAGCAAGATATATTTTTTATTACAATTGAAATGAAAGGTGATGTTGTCAAGAGACCACAAACCAGCCTCCAAGCAGAATCTAGCCATTCATATAGAGCAATGACTTTAGCTCTGGACTAGCTGGTGGTTCCTCTAATCTCTGGTGTCACTTGAGCAAATTTCCCAATTACTTGGAGTTCCTATGTCTGTTTGTATAAAGCAAAGATGTGGTAGAATGATGCCATGAGATCAATTAAGATGCTAACTGTGCTTAGGTGTCCAGACATTCTTGTTTGCCTGGGACCTGAGATTCCCAGGACATGGGACCTTCAGTGTTAAATCCATGGTGAACTCAGACAAACCAGGATGTTCAGTCACCTTTGTAAGCCTGAATGTGATGGTCAGTTTTGATTATAAATTGACAAGACCTGGAACCATCTAGGAGACAAGCCTGCGGACATGCCTGTGAAGGATTTTTTGTATTAGCTTAAATGAGGTGAGAAGACCCACTTTAATTATGAGTGGTACTCTTTTATAAGTGGAGTCCTAGACTGAATAAGAAGGAAAAGGCAAGCGCAGCACTAGCGTCCACCGCTCCCTGCTTCCTGACTGTAGACACAATATGATCTGCTCCCTTCAGCTCCTGCTGCCATAACTGCCTGCCATAATGGACTGTACCCTCAAATTGTGAGTCAAAACATAAACTTCCTCCCTTAAATTGCTTTTGTCAGGTATTTTGCCATAGTAATGTGACTATGTAACTAGTACACTGGTATATCATAGATTGCCAATGGCAGCAGATATGGGTACAGAATACCATGGCTTCTACTATCACAAATGAAAGCAGCACTTAGTGCTGACTACCTGCCAAGCCCTGTTCTGTGAGTCTAGCATGGATTATCTCATTTGTCTTCACAGCCATGGAGAGGTAGGGTATGGTTAACTCAGCTTTGCAGAGGAGAAAACCCAACAGCCAGAGTCTGAACCCAAGCAAGAACGGGTTACGATTGGATGTCATGCAGTCTTTTAAAAAAATGTTTCATAATTTTTGAGAATTTCATAAATAGGTATTGTCTTTGCATTATTTCCATCCCTCCCAGTCCCCCACGAGCTCCTCCCATTTCCCCTGACTCCTTCTCAATTTCTTAATCCTCTTCTTTATTATTGTTACACACACACACACACACACACACACACACACACACACACACATTGCACTGAAACTATTTAGTAGTGCTCCTGTGTACTTGTGTTTAGGGCTGTCCATTTGGGATAACCTCTCAGGGAGTTTGTCCCTGGGGAAATCTGAGTCTTTCTTAGCATCCATTGATTGCCTGTAGCTCTTCATCTTGAGGTGGGACCCTGTGACATTCCCCCATCCACATTGGTAGACCAACTGGTTTTCTTATTATGTAGCTCTTGTTAGACCACCATACTGTGGGGATTTCACTGGTGCGGCTTCCTTGTCATGTCTACAATACATTAACTAGGAGAAGGTGTCTGTCCATCTGGCTCTTAGATTCTTTCCATTCCCTCTTCTGTGATGTTCCCTGAGCCTTAGTTGTAGAGTTTCCATTGTAGATGTGTCACTTAGGGCTGGGCACTGCATGGAAACTCATTCTTTGTGTTTGATCAGTTGTGGAACTTTATAATAGTCTCCATTTGTTGCAAAAAGGAGTTTCTTTGATGAGTGGTGAAAGGTACACTTGTCTGTAAATATAACAACACATATTTAGACTACAATAGGAAGTTACGCTGCTCTATGAAAGTGACAGAATTGATTCTCCTTTCAGACTCTTTCCCATGCGTCCTGCTGGGAAGGACAGATGTATCATTTTATATGATACACCTGAGGCAGGAGAGGGCAGTTCCCAGAAGACCTATGTACAAAATCACATCAAATTTCAAACCTCTTTACATCAAATCA